GAAGAGAGGAGAGAGGGAAGGGACGGGGAGGCGGGCAGGCAGGCCTAGGCAACTTTTAAAATTTAATTCTAATGCAGTGACTTTTAAGTTGAGTATGTTTCTCAACTTAACATTTGTTTTAAATCAAAATCCAAGTAGCCATAACCTAACTGGTGTTGGGAAAGGAACCACATCCTTTCTACAGGTCCTATATCCTCCCCTGGACACTCCCTCAGGTCTCTCCCCACTAAATCCCAGCAGCCTAGCATAACTGGATCGGGTTCTTTCACTGATTTATTCAGCAAATACTGTTGAGAAGCATCTATGTTCTAGGCACTTTGAATAGGGGCACTGATTCGAATCTGCTTTCAAAGAGCTGCCTTCTAGTGGGAGAAGATATGCAAGTATGCAAGGATATGGAAGTATGCAAGGAACTGTGAGAAAGTAATGGGGGAAGTGAGCTAAGATCTAGTGAGCCAGTAGGAGGTAAGCAAAGAAAGCATGGGTGAATCTGAAAATGCCACACCAAGGCATTTCTTTCAGGCTAGAAAGTCTTTAGAACTGAAAGGCTCATGAGGCTGGAGCAAAGGAAAGTTAAGGAGGGTGAGGTTCCAGATGAGGCTAGAGATGTATCCAGAAACTAAATCATGCAAAGCCTGGTAAGCCATGATAAGGATTTTGGAGCTTATTGTAAGAGCAGGGTATATCTAAAGGGTTAAGAAGGGGAATAATATGATTCACTTTGCATTTTTAATTCACTGTGTCTTCTGTGAGAACAAACTTAGAGAGTGGCAAGACTAGAAATTGGGAAGCCAGTAAAGAAACTGTCACAAAAGTCTAAGGAGGAATAGTGGTGTCCTAGACTCAGGTGATAGCAGTTCAGGGAATGAGGTTTGTATAGATTTTGAGATGTAGTGGGTGGATACAATTATCAGAATGTGGTAATATGGAGAGTGAGGGACTGGAAGTTACCTTCTGGGTTATTAGGTTGAGTAAGTTGGCTGCTTTTGTACTGGTTAGACTGGGTTTGGCTTCATAGTTGGAACATAAGGTTGAATGCTGTAGAAAAAAACATGAAGAGATTGTAGCATAGGTATTATTTGGTCTAGACCATAGTATCACTTTTAACATGATCGTTATGCCAAAATAAATGAGAATGTTGTCCAAATTCTCTGCCTGTGTGTATTCATGGAAACCTCTGTATTTGTTGCTAAATTAGAAATAATATTGAGATACTATTTTGAGCCTTGCCTTGTCTCATGCAGAGATGATCAGTTTCTCACATGTAAATAGAATTTCACAGTTGGATGGGACCTCAAATTGGTATTCTCTCGTTTGTAAAATATTTTTATTATATCTTTTCCACAATTATTTATTGAGCTTTTGCATGATGTTAGACACTAGGAATACAAAGATGAATAGAAATATGACTATATAGATTTAGGTCATCAATAAAATTGATGGAGCATCTTTGTATCAGGCTGTTTCAGTTGCTTCAGATATAGTTACAACTAGTCCCTGATCTTGAAGTTGCAAGTCTATAAGCGTGACCACTGAGGACGCTAAACATATTAATTTGATTTGGGCAGGGAAAATATTGACCTATCCATATTAAATAAGAGATGGTAGATTGCCAGCAGACATTTTGGTACCCCGGTGACATCCCAATTCTTGTGAATCAGTCTTCTAATTCTAGAATAGATGGGGTAGCACTATGGGATAGAAGTCCTTAAGAGTGGAATCAATCATTTTACTCTTGTGGCTAGGCTGTTCAGGAATGTAATTATAAAAATTGTATAAAATACAGAAGAAAGTTTGGAAGGGAAGAGAGTATTGGCAAAGACAGGTAGTGTTTAAGCAAATTTCTCTTATATGAGTAACTTCTTTATGGCTTTACCATTGCACAAGCTATACTCCATAGGGTAACCTGAGTGTCCCCTCTACCACTTCTATGAGTCCAAATAGGCAAGTAAATAAGTAATGTATACAGCCTGATAAGGTAACTGTCAGGTGATTTTTGAGTATCAGGAGTAAGGGGCAGTGGTTGACTTGTGAGGTGGGTAGCTTACAGAGTAGAAAGGGTTGGGAGAATAGCACTGATGAATCCCTAATCTAGTTCTCTGATGGCAGGAGTGAGATGACCTCAATCTTGCGAAGCCCTAAGGCTCTGCAGCTTACTCTAGCCCTGATCAAGCCTGATGCAGTTGCTCACCCGTTGATTCTGGAGGTAAGAATGAATGTTAAGCCCCTACTGTATGCCCTGGGCATTGATACCATTTCACGTGCTTCAGGGACATTTGTGACTACCAAGAACCCCTGTGCTAGGTGCTGCAGAGGCAAAGCTAGGAGCCATGAACTCTGATCCTAAGGAGACTGAAACTCTCTTGGAGACTTGGGGCATATTTAAAATAAAAGAAAGGACCCAATATAACAATAATAAAAAAAGGACCTCAAGTTAATATATACTTCTGCACTACAAAACGTTTCTACAAACTTGACAGTTTAAAACAACATTCATTTATTACCTCACAATTTTATAGTTTAGAGGTCCTGTAGATTTGGCTGGGTCTCACAAGGCCAAAGTCAAGGTATGGATTGATTGAGCCCTTATCTGGAGTATCTAGGGAAGAATCCACTTCCAGCCTTGCTAAGATTGTTGGCAGAGTTTATTTCCTGTGATTACAGGACTAAAGACCCATTTACTTGGTGGAACTACTCTCCCTTTCTAGACCACTTCCATTTCTCATCACATGGCCTGCTCCATCTTTAAGACAGCAACAATGTATCTAATTCTTCACATGCCTCAAATTCTCCTGACTTCTTTAGCTCCTAGCCAGAGAAAATTGCTTTAAAAGGGCACATTTAACTAATTAGGTTCAGCGGGATAATCTTTCTTTACATTAAAGCAGAGTGTACTGATTAGTAAGTAACCTTAATTACATCTGCAAAATCCCTTTTATTATGAAATGTGACTTAATGATATTTTATTTATTCATTTTCCTGGGGATTAGAGTTGGCTGTCTGCCTGATAAAAAATTTTATAGATTTTTAGTGGTATTTTGAAATGGTGGAACTGAACAACATTGACAAGAGAGTATAGAATTAGGATGAGGGTAGAATGACAAAACCTTAATGAACACTAATATTGAGGAAGTGGTTCAAATTAGAAATAGACACAGGTAGGGATGTTTTTAGGATTCTACTACCCATAGTTTGATTAAGTAATTGCTGAGGACCAGTGCTCAGTAAGCTCGTTGTGGTGCAGAGGAAGATCGGAACAGTCTGGAATGGTGACCTGAAAGTGGTGAGTCTTGAGTAGGTCTCAAAGGAGGCATAGATTTTGGTTAGTGCCAGAAGAAGGATAAGTGTTCCACAGAAGGGACAGGCTGTGGTGGGTCTGAGGGCTGTAGGTGGCCTGGGCTAGTATAGAGAATTAGAAATGGTAGTGGACAAGGATAGTGCAGCCTTGAGCACTGGGCTGCTCTTCATTCCATGAATAATAGGAACTACCAGAAACCTGATCATAATATAACATAAGCTGTTTCAATCTATCAAGTGTGTTGGTTTGGAGAGAATGAGAGAAACTCAAAGCAGGACCATCAACAAGACTTTTATGGTGATCTGTGTGGTCTGTCCTGTGGGCTTGAACTCAGGGGCTGAGGAATGGAGGGGCGGAAACAGAACTTTCTATCCCCTTGCACTTAAGACTCACACTCTGGCTATGTGACTGGAGGTCTTGATCTCACCCCACCTTCTTTCTTTTCTGTCCTGCTATGTTAGCTATCTGAGGCTGTAACAAAATACCTGAGGTAAATTTTTTTTTTGAGAGAGAGAGA